TGAATACATTTTATAAGCATATGACATCCAAACAAATCATGGAATTTTTCGTATGCAAGTAGAGTTCCAAGACTACCAGTAAATGAGTAATATGACCTGCATTCACCCTATTTCGTTTAAGGTGATGAAGGACCGGCAGTGGAATTTTCCCACAATGACGTTTCCGTTAAAATTTCGCATAGCCTTGCCATACTTATATATGAAAAATAAGTAATGTTATAATGTAGTAAGTAATGCATCATTGCGATATCAAAGTGAGCTATAAGAAATAAGCCACCTTTATTGGTTTAGAGTTTTTTGTGATTGTTCGTGAATCATGGGTTCAGGCTTTGATAATGTTCGTCACATGACGGACGAAGGCTCAACACGAGGTCATCGGGTCGTAGGACGGTGAGCCATGTTCTTCTTCGCACAATTCAATAAAAAAATGCCCAAGGCAACCCTTCAGCGGTATGGGTTTGGGGCCAATCTAAGAATGCCTTCTACACGACTTCTTAAACGAAATGAAAGGTAGGCCAGAATCAAAAATATGATAAATGCTAAAATGTACTTAATATATCCAAAATTTATGATCCGATAAAAATTATTCAATTCAACTCAAATTAATAATAAAATGAATGTAGGTAATAGGCCATTTACTGAGATTATTTTATTATTGTTAGTATACAGTGCATCAGGATTCTGGCCGTCTAGTCCTGTAGACTGTAGCAGCACAGCTCCAACTTCCAGAAAGTTCCGTCGATAAGTCCTATTAATGAAACAGCATGCGATTTTGAATGGCTGTCACGTTTTACCAATACATCTTGGTGATGATTAGGAAGCCAAAGACATTGAATGCAACAGTAACTTGGTACACATTTGGCGGCCCAATATTAGAGCCGATGAGGTGGCCTATTAACTGAAGAATTGATGTTGAGCATATGCACTTGCAACTAAGTTCCCTAATCAGCCTCCAAGATTCAGTGTCTCTTTCGTGCAATGGCATATTCTGCATTTCGACTGCTTTACGCATTTTGAAGGTATTAACATCCTGTCTGGAGGCAGCAAGTCTGGCTTTCTGGCAATGCACTTGCTGCTGGATTGCCCCACTGGCTTGGCTGTCCGGCGAGCTGTCAGTGTTGGCGCAGCTGAGGCAGAAACGGACGGGAAATTAGGACTGCCTCTTGATTTGCTTGGTTTGTAGAGAAGGCGGTTGAGAGAATCTTCGCAACAGAACTACATGTTATGGGATGGCAATAGGCTTGGTCCAGCATTCCGACTTGAGGATGGAGAAGAGCAAAAATCTAATCAGTCTCGTGGCACGGATGGTACAGTGAACATTCACAAGGTTTTGATGTGCTGCTGAGAGAGCTCCAGAGGTCGCAATTTTCGCGTCCATGCAGACAGAATGACAATCTTATTTCGTTAAAAGTGATATTAGAAGTGGTGGTTGAACTTTCACACAATGCTATGAGTAGACCTTACGTTACCATTCAATTTCACATTGCCTTGCTTTCCCAAAAGAAATTCTCATACAGGCTGAAATGGACTGCAGGTTCGACGTCACGCGAACTCGTCTCACCGGCACTCCAAGCGGGACTCGAACTATGACGGGGCAGCGCATAATTTGGACACGTTAAGCACTTCGCCACTGTCGTGGTTCGAGTGCCGCTTGGACTGCTGATGAGACTAGTTCAGACGAGCTCGAAACTTCAGTCCTCTTCAGTCTTTTTGAGAATAACTTTTAGCAAATCAGGGCCATGTGAAATTCACTGAAATCTCCGAGTCTGCTCATTTTAGTGCGGCAAAATTCAACCAATCTTCATCTCATCATAGTAAGCGAAATAGGGTGGATGCACTTGATATATACGATCTACTGGCATTCTCGCAAACCTCCTCCTTAAGGATAAAGGTCAACCTCTTTTTAGAGCAGACACATTGGCCGTCATAAACCAGACATTCATAAATAGGCCGTCAATCGCT